CTTTCCCTGGAGGAGGGAACAGACATCAGGGGAGCTTGGGTGGGGAGCTGCCACTCAGTGTGGCCCCATCCACTCCTTGAGGCCTCCACAGTCCCTTCACTGACCTATCCCGAGCTGGATGCTCTGCCCAGGAGGCGTGGAGGGGAGCAGAGAATGCCACGTACACCCTTACTAAAGGCATGGAAATCCCCACCAGCTGGGAGAGGGACAGCTGGACAGCATCGGGGATCAATTAGATAGTCAGCGTGCTTCCTTTCTCCCTTACTCTGACTGCAATTACAGCACTATTACAGTGTAAGAAGATGCCATCCCAACCAGGGGCTTCACCTCCTGATTATAGGGTTTCTTGCTAAGTAAATGTGTCCAATAGTGTTGGCTGAGAGGCAAGGCTAGTGTGATGCATGCTGTATGGCCCTGAAAGAGCAACTCAGCCCCAAAGTTAACTTGCCTGCAATATGAAATAATGGCCTCTCCATTTATGAGAACCACAGGTCTAGGGGGCCTTCGGGCCAGTATGACTAAGGCACATGAGTCTCTGTAGCCACCAGCACATGAGGGAGTGATGTGGCTGGCATCACATCTGCCCATCTGTGACCCTCCCGCCAAAATGACCAAGCCCTCATGAACAACCAGGACAGCAACAGCAGCCTCTGGAGCTGCACCCAGACAATATAACTGCTCTGCCACTGCCTCTGGTCACGTGCTGCCATTACAGCCTAACTACCCTGGAGCCTCCACAGCCCCTGAATTGTAAGCCAAAAATATGGTAACAGCACCTCTTGCTGTCTTGCTTCAGATTTCAGTGCCTGCCCAGGTCCTCTGAGGCCATCAAGGGAAGTCTAAGCAACTCACCTGGAAGGATATTGCTCTACAGGCATCGCAGAGGAGGTGCTCAGGCATATGGGCAGAGTAGGTTTCCTCGGCGCTGAGCTGGGGGGAGGATGCAGAGAAGGCCCCTTCTGAGACGGGGGGCGAGTCCTGGAGGGGGCTGCTGGAAGAGGAGCTCTTTCCATCCTCTGCTTGTCTCAGCTCACAAAAGCTCAGCACCAAGAAAACAGTCACCAACAGCTTCATTTCCCCTGCTCAGGCAGCCCTCTGGGAGGGGTGGGGGAAGGCAGAGAATGTGCTGAGAGGAAGCACAGGGGCAGCAATAAGCAAATCCTGGGGCCAATGAGAAGTCACTGCTGCTTCACAAAGGCAGCATCATCCTTAACAGAACCACTATCTCAGTGGTTGTTACCCAAAGGAGAATTTTAGTGGCCCAATCCCTGATGCAAACCACTGAGCTGCAAGTTTCTGCCATTTTACCCTCCTCACATGGTTAATTCATCTACACAGCGCTGCTATATAGAGAGACAGGGAAGTGCAGGGCAGGTGGGGGGTGGACAGAAATGGAAAATCCTGTAAGGGCCTCCAGCTTGCTTCCTTGGGGTCCATGAAGGATCGAGTTCTTCAGTATCTGAGTTCTTCTTCGAGTTCAGTATCCAGCCAACATCCCAAGCCCGGGGTGTCTCCCCTTTCCCATGGGCATCTTACTCCTCAACCTCATTCACTTGTCTTGGGAAGATTTTTCAGCTGAATTCCATCCCATAACTCCTAGTGCGGCCCTCTTGTGCCAGGCTGGACTATTCCCTCCTGCACCAACGTGTTTACAAGCTTCAAGAGTTCTCAGCTTCAAGGGTTCTCAGGTTCCCTCCTCAGCTGCCACTTAGCCAAGCTGGGTATATTTAGATCCTCTAATCTGTCCTCATCAATCAGGCCCTTTGGCCCCCTGACTGCTTTGTTGTTCTTCTCTGATCCCCCTCTCTTTCCTCTCTCTGCATCTCCTTCATACAATTACAACATGACAAGCTATGTTGCGTTGCCTTTGCTCTGGCACTGGGAACACCGCTTACAGTTTGGCAGTGAATTTTGTGTGAGCCCAGTTGCAGGGGAATGGGAAATTTGTCCTGTAAGGACAACAGGGTCAGACCCTAAGGGTGTGCCTACATGGTGGTCTCCTGAGTGAGACCAGGCATACCAGTAAGAAATAAGCCCAGTCCATTTGTGCACACTTTGTGAGCACCCTGGCTCACAGATTTTCAGAGCAGATGGCTTAGTGTTCTCCCACTTGTACATCACAATCTACTTCATAAAATTGCAAGCTTGGGCATGCAGTCAGAGGTACCTTCATTTCAAGAAGGCTTCCTTAGATAGATGGTCCAGCTTCTTACTGGGGACAGAAACTGAGCTGGAACAACTTGCTAGTTGTTGATGCAATGAAACCAGCAGGTGTTTCCATTGACGTCCTTGTGAGTGCTCTGGTGCACAGGAACAGCCCTGCTACTAAAATGGGACTTTATATTTTTCTAATCATTTGGGCTGGGATTTTTCAAAGAGATGCAAGGGCATGAGGGCCCCAAGCTCCACTGAACTGCAGCAAGAGCTGGGTGCACAACTGCATTCAGAGCTCTTGGAAGTCATAGTCTTTACCAGTTGGTGCTGTTCTGGGTTAAAGCATCAACGGGTGTGAAGTGATGCAGTCCATGTACTTAACTGGAGTTATGCTGATTTAAACCAGTTTGTGAACTGGCTTATTATGTTCTGTTTGAAGAAATCTAGTGCTGGTGAGTTTCTCCTGGATTATTTTTCTCACCACGTGAATCTAAGACATTCTTTATTCACCTGTAAGGTGTGTGGTGGATCTCAGCAAAGAGAGCTATAGTATCTCCTATCTATTTTCTCTTGTCCAGGCTTTCCCTAATGTTCTCAAGTTTGTATTGCAGTAACATGTTTCCGCTGTGTTCTATTCTCATTAGCTAGCAGAAGCTACCCACCACTCTTACATTTATATAGTGTGGGAACATCTACATGAGACCATTAACTGGGAGTATCAACATGTGCATTAAAGCCCTTTTTCTAATGTGCGTTAAATTTAGTACTTCCAATGTGAGGCACTAAACAAATGTGCGTAAGGCAGTAATGAATGTGTATGGTTTTGAAGTGACACTAAATGCGCAGTAACCTATTTTACTGTGCATTAGTGTAATCACATGTTTTTTTTATGTGACGCTTCAATGTACAGTCAAATGGGCTGCACATTAAAGCACATCTATAAACATGCCTGCTGTGCAATAGACTAATCTACTGTGCAGTAAAGAATCACTATGTAACTGTGGGCTGAGCTACTGTGCAGTAAAATAGACTAATGTGCAGTAAATCTACTACCTTTATTTACAGGTAGTAGATTTATTGCACATTAGCTAATGTGCAGTAGTGCATGTATAGATGTTGGCAGGGAGCAAATTTGCTCCCAGTCAGCCAGACCAGCAGGGGGACAGTCTCCTGCCAGCTGCAGGGCAATGTGGGTGAGAGTCCCTCCAGCTATGGGGCAGGGACAGCGTTTTAGCAGTCCCTGGCTAGTTTTTAGACCCCTAGTTTGACTCCTGGGCCTGGGCCATCTGATGCCTGCCTCTGGCCACTCTGTGCTGGCGTGGTGGGCACGTGTTGGTTGCAGCAGTGCTGCAGAGCCTCAACCTGGCCTTCCAGGCCTCTTGTGGCTGCTTCCTGGCCCTTAGGCACCATGCCTCTGTTTTGTAGGCACATGCTGGCTCCAGCAGTCCCACAGGTCATTGAGCATGAGTGGGAGAAGGACTAGGAGGACCGTGCTTTCTGGGACAGGTTCCTCGACTTTGAGGAGAGGCACGTTGCCCTGCTCTAGAGGATGCTGGGAGCACAGCAGAAGCAGGCCACCATGGTGGCCTGGGCAGTGGAGGCCACAAAGGAGGACTGCTGGGTGCTGGACACCATCCTGGCCCTTGCAATCACCTTTGTGCCGCCTGCCACCTGGCAGCTGCCCACCATCCAGCCACCGTCCTTAGCCTTGAGTCCGGCCCTGGCCTCAGCCCTGGCCCCGGCTCTGGCTCCAGCTCCAACCCTGCCTGCTGCTTGACAGCCACCCTGCAGCCCCTCACCAAGCCCCACAATGGGCCTGTGGCACCTGCAGCAGCCAGAACCCCCTTCCCCTGCTCCCAAGCCCGGTCTCCTGGTAGCCAAACTGGTCACCTGGGCTGTGCCCCGCCCTGCCCCCCCCAACCGCCCACCATGTGACCCCTAAGTGGGAGATGGCTCCCGCTGGGCCTGGCCTCATGGAGGAGAAGGGGGAACAGGCTGGACTGCCTGCCTTCACCCATGGCTGAGCCCTTGGGCTGCCAGCCTCACCATAGTGTTCACACCCGTGGTGGTGCTGCCAGAGACCAGGGTGCCAGATGCCTCTCCCCAGACTTTGTGCCATAGGCACCTCCAGCCCACCATTCCCCCCCTGACACTGCACCAACCACAGTCTTGTAAATATCTGTGCAGGGAAGAGGGTGTTTTACTGGTGGAGAAGCTGTTGTTGGGGAGGGAGGGTGGGTGAGAGTGTGTTGTGGTAGAGGGAAATAAAGATTGTTGACTGGAAACTGTCCACAGTACAAATGGTCTTGTGGGTGTGTTGTGGGCCTGGGGTTCGCCGGCAGCTGCCCAGGCATCCTATCGTGGTAGGTTGGGGAGGAGGTGGTTTGCGAGCTCCTTGCAGACATGGTGCCCTGTCTGCTGCTGCTGGGTGGGGGAGGGCAGGGAATATCCAAGAAGCATTCACCACAGGCTCCCAGGACAGCATCCCTAGCCAGGCTGAGCCTGCCCCCCACCCCACCCCCTCGGAGACCCCTGCTAGGCTAAGCCTGTCCCCCATGGAAACCCCAACCAGCCTGAGCCTGTCCCATTGGAGACCCCTGCCAGGCTGAGCCTGCCCCCTGGAAACCCCTGACACCTAGGCATCTGCATCCTGAGCCTTTAGCGCCCCCTGGCTGCTGCAAGAGGTCAGAGCAGGGCAGGAGCAGACCTGGATCTGCTTATTTCTATAAGGAGCAAATTTGCTCCCAAGAGGGTGCATGTGTAAATACCTTCCCAGGACTGGCTTATTGCACAGTAAATTACTGCACAGTAAGTCTAAATAGCATTAATTGCATGTGTAGATACATCCTGTAAACCTCTCCACCTGTGTAATGTAGTAGAATATGGTGTACCCTGGGAGGAAAGTAGAAGTAAAAATACATTGGTGTAAGTTATGCCATTGTAAGTGTCATGTGTTCATAGATATCTTGGGGTAGCTGCTTACTCAATGCAAACAGACTCCCCTCTACCTACTAATGGGGTGCTGTAATAGCACCTTTTCCAGGAATTACTGCAGGAAAACAGGTTGTCTGGGGCAATTTACGTCATTTTATAAAACTGCTGTAAATTAAACTTGTGTCAACAAGTCATGTATCCAGGCCCTCAGTGGAATGCACTAAAATGGTTATTAGACTTTGCTCAGAGCTAAAGTGTCAGGAGGAAACATGGGTGCTGCAGTTTATAGGTGATCAGATAACTGACAAAAATCCTATTTGTGTGAGGGAAGTTTGCAATTACCTTTGACCATGAAATTTCCATTACTTCCAGGTAAACAAACAGATCAGAGGAGGGGGAAAGGAGGTAATTTGCAGCCGCACTGCAGCTGGAGAAAAAACTGCCTGGAAATATGGCACTTGGTCCAAGAAGAAATGTTCCTGTCCTGAGTAGTGTGCATGTGGCTGGCTGCCAGGCTTGGTTCTACAAGAGGCTTCCATGACTTGCCAAAGGAGATACAGCCCATCTCAGAAGTGCTGAAATAGAGTATGCTGAGATTAAGGGGAAATGGCCTATGTGAAATGAATGAGGAAGTCCCAAAAGGTCTCCTATTAAACAAGGACATCCCACATGTGGTACCACTGTGGGCTGTCAGCTGGTTTTCCTAGGTAGAACACAGAATTATTATTAGCATTATTATTAGTAGTAACAGTAGTAGTATCAATAACAGTAATAATAAGAATACATTCTTCATAAAGAAAGGTTCCTTTATCAAGCTGGTAGGTCAGTGGCCAGTGTAATGGTACAGTCCAGTGACATTTTATTTCAGATATAAACTTTGAATTATAAAGTAAAACAGAGGAAGACACTAAATAATAATAATAATAATAATAAGTAGTAGTAGTAGTAGTAGTAGTAGTAGTAGTAGTAGTAGTGCTATTAGGCAGACCAGGTTCTTTGGGGATATGTGATATCTTTTATTAGATCAACTAAACAGTTGGAAAAATTGTTCTTTGCAAGCTTTAGAACACAAACACCCTTCTTCAGGCATAGGGAGACTCCATTGCTGTTTTGTGTGCTGTCCTGGGTAGAATAGAAGTCAGTATGCAAAATGCAGGTTTGTGAAAATGCAAATGTGTGGCAGTGAGGTTCAGAGATGATGGGAGACAACAGGTATGAGACAGGTGGGGGTGGGGGATGTTGACCTGATGATAGAATGTAGCTGGTAAAATGCAGACAGGTTACCGGGGGTTATCAGATGGTGGGCAGGTTATAATGAGCCATAAATCCAATGGCTATATTTAGTCCAAGATTTTTTGTATTCAGTAGATTTATGAAGTGAAGTTTCTAGGCTCATCTACAAAAGGTGTTTTGTAAATTCCCTTTGAGGGATTTGAACTGAGAGACTGGAGAGAGAGTGGTTAGCTTGTGAGAAGTGTGCACCCACGGGCAATTGGGTATTTTTGTCTTTGATAGATTTTTGGTGTGTGT